CATAACAAAGTAATATTTAACATCAAGAGAAAGGGTATAGGAAAAATGTTTAATGAACCACTCCAGGGAGAGAGACATAGACAAAAAGAATATCCTGGTCTGGGCCAGGCAGTCCTTCAATCTTGCAAGGAAGAGACTTTGATGTGGGCAGAGCCTTTAGTGGTAGATGCCAGGTGCTTATCACAGTGACAGCCAGACTCAGTTAAGATGGCCATTTGAACTGCTGGAGTCTTGTTCTTTTTATGGCCACAAAGTCCTTTGGTAAGGACTGAAAATGGAGAAGTATGCTTGGTTATGTCCTCATTTGATTGAATAGAGTCTTTATTGACCAAGCAAAACATTTGGTCCCAGTTGGCAAAGTGCCTAATGAAATGTAAGATGGAGTCTTTTTCTAAGATGAAGTTAACTTAAGTCAGGGGTGCTCTATGTGTAAGCAAAACAAGTGTTAAATGAAGTAAATAGACCAAATGTATTAAAATGACGAAGATAAAGTGAGCAAATACATTGGAAAGCAGAAGTCTCTAGAGGAGGGATTATCTTGACTACAGAGTAAAAATAGAAAGCCCCCAAACTTATATGGAAACAAATTCTGTAGAACATGTTCAAGTAAAACAAGGAGACCAAAGAAAGAGTAAGCAAGATATAGTAGAAAAGTTAAAAGGAAATCTGTCTTTGCAGACACAAGCAGCATCTTAAGAGAACTTATTTGAGAGAGAATAAAGTTGCTTCAATAAGAAGTCGGAGGGAGCTGAGAAAGATCTGAAATCTGAACTCTTAAAAATGAAAACTTTCCAGAAGACTAATAAAACTGAATTGGAAAGGTATAAGGAGCTCTATCTACAAGAATTAAAAGTCAGAAAATCATTGGCAACTGTACTAGACAAAACCAATGATAAAACAGCAGAAGTTAATAGCAGACTTTTTGTAGAGAACAGCAGACCAGATCTTTACACCACTGTTAATACAACGAAGCAGTCCTAGAGTCAGCTTGTGCTGAAAACAGGATAGTGTTCTAAGAACATTTTTCTCGTCACTCAGAAACTATCAGTGTTATCAGAGGCCTTCACCTTCAGACAGATATAAATCTGAATGGGAGTCTTGTGGATTCTTTGAGCACCAACACTTGTCACTGGTCAGAGTTTCTTTTCATATATTAAATTTGTTTTCTTCTATTTCAGCTTTAGCTTTATTAGCTAGGGTATTTTTGTAAGACTCATGAGTATGGATGGGAAAGGTGATCTTTTCTCGTACTTTGTTTTCTTCTTACCCATCCTTCCCACCAAAAAATGAGACTCCAGAACTGTTAATGTTACTATTGCTCTGTGAGAATAGATTTCTTGGTGAATATTTAGAGAAATTTGGAGGGCTCAGAGAAGACAGGAAAATGTGGGAAAGTTTGGTACTACCTAGAGACGTAAAGGGCTTTGTCCAAAACGATGATACTGATATGGACAATAAACTACAGGTTGAAGTGATGTCAGATGGAAATGAGGAACTTGTTAGGAACTGGAGTAAAGGTGATTCTTGGATGTTTCAGCAAAGAGATTTGTGGCATTTTGCCCCTGCCCTAGAGAATCCTGAAACTTTGAACATGAGAAAGATGATTTAGGGTATCTGGTGGAAGAAATTTCTAAGTAGAAAAGCATTCAGTAACAGACTTGGATGCTGTTAAAGGCATTCAGTTTTATAAGGGAAGCAGAGCATAAAGTTTTGAAAATGTGCACCCTGACCATGCAATAAAAAAGAAAAACTCATTTTCTGGAGAGAAATTCAAGCCAGCTGTAGAAATTTGCATAAGTAGCAAGAAGTCTAATGTTAATCTCCAAGACCATGGGGAAAATGTCTCCAGGCTATGTCAGAGACCTTCATGCCAGCCCTTCCTTTCCCCTGCATCACAGGCCCAAAGGCTTAGGAGGATAAAGTGGTTTTGTGGCCTAGACTCAGAGTCCCCATGCTGTGTGCAGTCTAGGGACTTGTCCTGCATCCTGACCGCTTTAGCCATGACTGAAAGAGGCCAAGGTATAGCTCAGGCTGTTGCTTCAGAGGGTGGAAGCCCCAAGCCTTGGCAGCTTCCATGTGGTGTTGAGCCTGCGGGTGCACAGAAGTTAAGAATTGACGTTTGAGAATCTTCCTAGATTTTAGAAGATCTGTGGAAATGCCTGGATGCCCAGGCAAAAGTTTGCTGCAGGAGTGGGCCCTCATGGAGAACCTCTGCTAGGGCAGTGTGGAAGGGAACTGTGGGGTCAGAGTCCCTACAGAGTCCCTACTGGGGTACCGCCTAGTGGAGCTGCGAGAAGAGGGCCACTGTCCTCTAGACCCCAGAGTGATAAGGCATGTACCATGTGCCTGGAAAAGCTGCAGACACTCAATGTCAACCCCTGAAAGCAGCCAGGAGGGAGGCTGTACTCTGCAAAGCCACAGGGTTAGAGCTGCCAAAGACCGTGGGAACCCACCTCTTGTATCGCTGTCACGTGAATGTGAGACATAGAGTCAAAGGAGATCCTTTTGGAGCTTTAAAGTTTGACTGCCCTGTTAAATTTTGCACTGGTATGGGGCCTGTGGCTGCTTCATTTGGGCCAATTTCTCCCATTTGGAACTGTTGTATTTACCCAATGCCTATACCTTTATTGTATCTAGGAAGAACTAACTTGCTTTTGATTTTACAGGCTTATAGGCAGAAGGGATTTGTGTTGTCTCAGTTGAGAGACTTGACTACAGAATTTTGAGTTCATGTTGAAATTAGTTAAGACTTTAGGGACTGTTGGGAAAGCATGATTGGTTTTGAAATGTGAGGACATGAAATTTGAGAGGGGCCAGGGCTGGAATGATGTGGTTTGGCTGTGTCCCACCCAAATCTCAACTTGAATTGCATCTGTCAGAATTTCCACGTGTTGTGTGAGGGACACAGTGGGAGGTAATTGAATCATGAGGGCCTGTCTTTCCCATGCTATTCTCCTGATAGTGAATAAGTCTCATGAGATCTGATGGGTTTCTCAGGGGTTTCCACTTTTGCTTCTTTCTCATTGTCTTTTGTTGCCACCATGTAAGAAGTGCCTTTCACCTTCTGCCATAATTGTAAGACCTCCCAGCCACATGGAACTGTAAGTCAAATTAAACCTCCTTTTCTTTCCAGTCTTGAGTATATCTTTATCTGCAGTGTGAAAACAGACTAATGCATTAAATAGGTACCAGGAGTGGGGTTTTGCTAAAAAGATACTAAAAAATGTGGAAGTGACTTTGGAACTGGGTAACAGGCAGAAGTTGGAACATATTGGAGCACTCAGAAGAAGACAGAGGGATGAGTGAAAGTTTAGAAAGAAACTTGTTGAATAGTTTTGACCAGTGAAGTCCAGGCCAAGGTGGTTTCAGATGGAGATGAGGAACTTACTGGGAACTGGAGCAAATGTCATTCTTGCTGTGCTTTAGCAAAGAGACTGGTGGAATTCTGCTCCTGCCCTAGAGATCTGTGTGCTTTGAACGTGAGAGAGGTGATTTAGGGTATCTGACAGACGAAATTTCTAAGCAGCAAAGCACTCATTAGGTGACCTGGCTTATTCTGAAAGCATTCAGTCATATTCATTCACATAGAAATGGTTTGAAATTCGAACTTAACGTTTAAAAGGGAAGCAGAGCATAAAGATTTGGAAATTTGCAGCCTGACCATGAGGTACAAAAGAAAAACCCATTTTCTGGGGAGAAATTCAAGCCAGCTGCAGAAATTTGCATAAATAACAAGGAGCTGAATGTTAATAACCAAGACAATAGGGAAAATGTCTCCAGGACTTGTCAGAGATCTTCACAGCTACCCCTTTTATAACAGGCCTAGAGGCCTAGGAGGGAAAAATGGTTTAATGGGCCTGCAGAGCCACAGGGGTGGGCTGCCTAAAGACTTGGGAGCCCACCTCTTGCATCAGCGTGTCCTGGATGTGAGACATGGAATTAAAGGAGATTTTGGAGATTTAAGATTTAATGATTGCCTGGGCAGGTTTTGGACTCTCATGGGGCCCGTGGCCCCTTTGTTTTGGCCATTTTCTCCCATTTGGAACAGGAATGTTTGCCCCCTATATCCCCTGTATGTCCATTGTGTCTTAGGAGTAACTAACTTGCTTTTGATATTACAGGCTTATGGGCAGAAAGGACATTTCTAAGTGGTATAAATTCTTTAAACATAGAAAAAAATAGCCTTTCTTAGCACTACCCTTCATGTCTACTCAAAAGAGTTATTTTTTGATTTTGTTTTCCAATAAAATCATTTTTTCATCCAAACAGCAGCTGTAGTTGCAGGCATTTTTCTGGCCAACTCACAGATGGTCTCACTTTAGAGAACCCTGACTAATACACTGCCTTTTGTAAGTTATTGTTGCTGACATGTGATAAAGGCAGATAGGGGACAAAAGGTATTCCAAATTATAAGCAAACTGACACAAATGTTCTCAGACTCAGGTGGCCTTACTGAGGGAAGCATAAGCATGGTTTTGCCTCATTATCTGAGGATTTCCAGGAAAGCCTCAGTGCCCAAATTCTCTTCCCCACCTGCCAGCCAGAGATCTAACATGCATTTGCACCTCTATAGCTCCTTTTTAGGCCATCAGGAATTTTTTAAAATACCAAGTTTGTCTGAATAGATGTGAGGATTAGTTCACACTCACTTGGGAACAGGATTGGTAGAAATGAGATCTAGAGCACACTGGCCACCTTCACTTCAGTAACCTGCTGCCCTCACCACACAAATCAGGCAGCCGTGTTGTGTCAGGGGCTTGTAAAAACTGAGGAACAAGCCTCTCCTGTCTCCGTTTCTCTTTTGTTTCCAGTAATGTACAGTGTTCATGCATTCTTTTTTGTTTGTTTGTTTAAAAAAATTAATTTATTCTGTAAGTCATTCAAATTTCTTCTCTTAAACGTTTCAGTTTAGTACAACACAGTATACATAGTGGGATGTAAGAACCATAAACTATTCCTGAATCAAGTAATTGTGATTTGTGTTCCCTTTGACATCTCAGTATCTCCAGGCTCCAGCACCTGCTTAGCTGTTATGACTCCAGCGAGCCTGTGTTTCTGGGAGAGCGCTATGGCTACGGCCTGGGCACTGGTGGCTACAGCTACGTCACGGGAGGAGGAGGGTAACTATGATCACAGCTTTCTTCAGCTACTTTGAACATAAACTTTCCTTGCCACATGAGAGGTGGGTCTCTGGCACTAGGATCTATACTGATAATGTGAGTACTCTGTGAATGGTGGTGTTACTATAATAGGAAAGTGAACATTGTATTTGCTTATTTTGAAAACATTATATTTGCTAAATATGAAAACTTTGCACATAGTAAAGAATATTTTAGTCCTTGAAGAAATGATCATAAAAAAGTATGTCATGCTAGCTAGAATGTCCCTAACAATGGTTGCTTCTAGGCAGCCAACTAGTTCTGATTGTCCCTTTAAATGGGAAAAAAAAAAAGAATTGGTTATAGATTTTAATCTCAGAGAATAAGCTATTAGACTATTAAATTATGCAGTGCTTGATAAGTCACCTTTGGGGAAAGTGTAGTATAGAAGCTTACTTAGGCAATTAAGTGATATTTGTGTAGGATTTATAGGTTTTAAATAACAGTTAAAAATCAATGTTTTGAATGAAGCATCTGCCTAATCTCTTATGAAGAAAGATGTTAACTTGATAGATCTGGGTAAATCAGTTAAGCAGTTAGTCTTCCCTATTACTTCTATAGCCTTACTATTGGTACGTGTAGGCAGAATCCTAACTTACCAACTATAGTCATTTAAATTCATTCAGTAGATATTTGTTGCTTGTTTGCTGTGTGCCAGGCAGCATTCTAGTTTATAATCTAATGGAGTATACACTTCTGGAGGGCTAGGACCTTATATTCCTACTTTGCAATTCCCTAGATTGGAACAGTTTCTACAGGAACCTGCAGGATCTCAACAGTCATACTACACACATCCTGATTTGGTCTAGCTGATTCAGTCATGAACATAACATGGTTATGGAGGTGGCTCTTTTGTAGTAATAACCAAAGCTGAGCACGAGGGGTGCACAGATGAAAGCTGCACAGCCCCTTCCCCACAGGAGCTCACAGGCCAGTGCCAGATTTGCAAATACATTGCATAGTTGTCACTGCTCTCCTTCCCTTGTCTGTGGCAGGCCCTGCTAGACCACCGAGGGGACACCTTTAACTTCTGTGTTCAGCCTCTACTTTGCTCCTGGGTACTTCCCACCACCTCTAGTTTTTCCATCTTAAAACTTCTCAGCACCATCCCACCATCTCCTTCCTTTTCCCTTGGAACATCTTGAGTTCACTGCTCTTTCCTCAGCTCCACGCTCAGCCTTCTAAGAATCATAAATTCCCAGCCTCCTAAACTACCTCACCAAGGTCTCCAGCAACCTTGCTATAGCTAAATCAAATTAATCATTTCCAGTTTTTATTCTATTTCACCTCTTAGCAGCCTTTAACACAGTTGACCTGAAATACTCCTTTCTCTTGTTCATCCTATCCTTGTTCATCCTTTTCTTTCTGTTCATTCCTTCTCAGTTTCAATGTCTGTTTCTCAGCCATCTTTTCTAGTCTCTTCTCACCCTGTGTTGTCCCTGGGTGATCTTACCTACCCCCATGGCTTGATGCACCCAGATCTTGATCTGCAGCCTAGAACTCTCTGCTGGCCTCCGGATTCACAAATCCACCTACCAAAGGGCATCTCTGTTTAGCTGATTAACAGACACGTCATACTCAGCACCTTGTCATTTCTGACTGTAACCCCTGATTTGTTCTTCCAATGTCCCTCTCTCAGGGTAGACATTGGTATATATGAGTTCTTATCCTAGCAGTCTGTGAGTCAGATCTCACCCTTTCTCTTCTTCTTTCCCCACTGCCTGCAATCAACTGAGTCACCTAGTCCTATCCATTTTATTTCTTAAATCTCTCTTCCCTCAATACTTCTCTCTACCTCCAGTAATCTCAACCAGGTCACTGTCATCTCCTGTATGAGTTCCTGCCACAGCCTCTGTTCTCCTTACATTTTGTCTTGAACTCTACTCCATGCTGTTGTCCATACTATAGTCAGAGGGACCTTTCTAAAAGCAGATCTGGTCCTCTCCCTCCGCTGCTTAGAGGCCCTCAGTGGCTTCTCATTGTCTTTATTTTTCCCTGAGAATGTGAACCCTTTTCTACTTTTGACATCGAAGACAAAGAGATGATCATTCAGATTTTAATAAGAGTCAAGTTTATCTGGGATGAATCATCAGTTTTAATCATCCCTAGTTCATCTGATTGACAGCCTTCCCGGGTGTTGCTGAAGCCACTGTCTTGGAGCTAAAGACCCAAGAAGACTTTTCTCTTCTACCCACTGCTGAAAGCTGCCATGGCTGGCTTGCCACTCCTCTAGCAAGGATTTTTCTCTCTAGAAATTCATTCATTTAGGCTTTGTGGCATTTACCTCTCTTCAATTTCATGATTACATATGATTTTCCTGTTATTTGAATATTTTTGAGTGTTACCATGGCAGGAAAGTCTTTTGCATGCTCTGATATCCTAACTAGCAGTAGAACTTCTCCCATTGCCTTTAGGATCAAGTTCACACTCCTCAAGGCTTATAAGACCTCTTATGATCTTGGCAGATGCTGTTTCACCTTTCTAACCTCATCTGTCTACACCCTCATCTTTAAAGAACTCCTGCTGAACTTGTTTCGGATTCTCTGAAGCACTGTTTTTTTCCTCTCCTCCCAAAATATGACATTTGCTGGTCTCTGCATAGCATTGTTTCCCCAGCTTCCTGCCTGTCTAGTTCCTCCTTGTTCTTTTGGATTCATCATGGCTATCACTTATTTCCTCTTGAATGCCTTTAGCCCAGTCTAGCCTCTCAAATCTGGGTTTAATGCATTTCTAATGTACCTTCATAGCATATTACGCAAACCATTATCATTTAATTGCCTATTTACTTTTCTGTTTTTTTCCACTTAAATTGTGCATTATTTGAAGGCAGCACCTGTGTGTTTCATTTCTCATTATTTCCTCCCTTCTTAGCATAGGGACTCATGTTTTCCAAGGCACAGTGAATAAATGAATAAACAAATCCATAAACATGAGGCACTGATCTTTATATAACTAACATTAACTAATGTGATGTTCTGTTTTTAATAGCACTTTGTAGAAGTGCTTCATGAGGTTCCTCATGAGATTGTCTCCTACATCAACCTTTGATCAAAGCTGCAACACATGTTATTCGTTTCTCTAGTATTACAGTAGAATGTTCTGATGTTATAGCTTGAGAACCAATATGCTTTTTGACAGCAAGTCAGAATCAGTGGCTTCTAAAACCAATTCATGGACCTTAACCAGCATTTTAAAATAATGAACTGTTGAGTGGAATAGAATAAAATGGAAAGTATCAGAGTGCCTTCCATGTCATAAGGGTAAGAATTGTTTGTGAATTTTTTGTTTCAGCTTCATACATACCCATACACACTCACACACAAAACATATAAAAGGTTGCAGTGTGAAATTAATTTCTTGTTTTCTGATTGTGGGTCACAGTCAAGTAAGTTTTTGAAAACCACTGTCTTGAACCATGCTTCTTAGGTAAGGATGTTTTGAGACAGCCAAGTTGGGGGTGTAGGTTCCTGTGGTTTCTGTGTAGGTATTTTGCTTTGTTTGGAGCATGAAACCTTTACACTATTTGAATCCAGATGTCTGTTTTTCACTTTGTTGCTTTCTCCATGAAAGTTTTGGTACTTGGAGAAAGTCAGTTGACCATTTTTTTTTTAGTTTCAGTAGGTTTTTGAGGAGCAGGTGGTGCTTGGTGACATGAATAAGTTCATTAGTGGTGATTTCCTAGATTTTGGTGCACCTGTTACCCAAGTAGTATATACTGTACCCAAAGTGTAGTCTTTTATCCCTCATCCCCCGCCCTACCCTTCTTCCGAGTTCCCAGAGTTCATTGTATCATTCTTATGCCTTTGAGTCCTCATGAAGCTTAGCTCCTACTTACAAGTGAGAACGTGATGTTTTGACCCTTTTTGAAAATACTTATTTACATATGTGCATTTAGGTAGGAAGCTGTGTGTAGCGCATCATCAGCCTTTTTGGCAGCCTTGGGAGCAAATGCCTGCATCGGAATAAGATGTCGGACAGTGTCCTCGGAAGAGGCTGCAGGCAGCGTTACCCAAAGAGACAGCCATGACCTGTTTATTGGCTGAAAGCCAGGAGGGGCAGGAATGTTTGTCACGTGTGTTCCCTTCCTACATGTTCTTGATCTGCAGTATGTTCCTGGGCAAGTCCCAGACTCCCATTTCAGCTTTTCTTATTTTAAACATTTGTATGTTAAAGAAAATAAAATAATCCTGTAGCCTTTCAACATCTTTTTAATATTTAATGGTTGGCAGGCAGAGCAGACAAGTGTTCTTTTCTCCACCATGATATGACTGGTCGTTTTCCATTTTGGGGAGTAACTTTATTTGGAAACAACTCATCCGCATGCTAATAAACAAGCGTTATTAACGACTCATATCCTCTTAGTTTATGCAAATAATTAATGTAAGACTGTGTGAGTAGGAAAGAGTGTAAAATAATTACAAATCACAGTTTTATGCTTGTATTTTGTCTTCCTATAGTTTTTCAGAGAGTGGATTCAAAAAATAAAAGTCTTTCTTATTTTCTCATTCTACTAGATGCTGACAAAAGAAAAAAAGCATTTTTACTATTTATTTGCGACACATCTTCTCACATAGGCTCTTTTCCCTGAGTTAGTAGCTTGAGCCCAGTGTGGCCAATTGGGTCTAGGAGTTTGAATCAGCCACAAAAAGTGTGTGGCCAGGGAGGTTTTACTGGGGGACAGCAGACTTTCTAAGTGAAGGGCAATTTATGGTGCGTTTTCAGAGTTACAGTTTTCCTTTCTCTGTGGTTGACAGGAACTATGTTTCTTTTTGTGCCTTCCTATTTTGTTACGACATCTTAAGAAATTCTCTTGTCTAGTCAAGGGCAGGGAGGGAGTCCTACACTGTTGCAGTCTGGGGTTGGCCACTAGCATTAGGTAAAGTGTGCTGAACTGAGCCCAGCTGCACGTGGAATCAGTGGTTTTGGCTCAGGGATTCCAGCTCTGTGTCCTTTTTCCCTTCCTCCTAGATAGACTCATAGAATGCTTCCTTCCCCAGGAAGAGAGTCTTTGCAAAAATGTCTTTGTTCTCACTTGTTTGATGCATCAAACTTTTATTGAGTGCTGTGGGCAAGGCCCAATATGTGGCGATGGAACTATATGGATGAATTTTAAATAGCTTTGCCTTAAAGTAAGTCTTAGATTATTGAGACTGAATTTGTGAACCATTTTAGTTCCTTCAGCCCTTTCGGTGTTTGAGCTTTTTTATGATATGAAAAGATTCATTTCTACCTTAGGACCAGAATGGAAACAAGAAACCAATCTGTATTTTAAAATGAAGAGAAATTTTTTTGGGAACTTGGTACCAAAGTGTTGGAAAGGGCCAGAAGACTAAAAGAGAACAGGTAGGGTTTTACCTAGAGCTCAGTAACTACAGAAAGCTGCTATTGCCTCTCAGTCTGGAGGAGCAGAGTCCTGTTTCCTGGGGCCCATTTGTGCAGCAGGGGTCTCTGTGGAGCTGCTCTAACCCCTTCCTCTGCTCTGGCTCCCACTAGAATGGTCTTCAGCAGAGAAGCCATCAGGAGACTTCTTGCCAGTAAATGTCGGTGCTACAGCAACGATGCTCCCGACGATATGGTCCTGGGAATGTGCTTTAGTGGCCTGGGAATCCCTGTGACTCACAGCCCTCTCTTCCATCAGGTGAGGAAATGGTTTTATTCTTCCCTCACAGCGTGTGGGGAACATGTTCTTCTACTTAAGGATTTGACTTCTCTTCACATGTTCTGGAAGCAATCTTAAGAACTGTGTTGACAGGCTCCAGGGGAATGTCCTTTGCAGGACTGTTACCCTGTTTGATGAACATACTGCAGCATGTACATCGTGAAGATGGGAGGCAAAAACATCTCGAAAACCAAGTGGTGTTTGACCAGTATCCTCGCATGTAGGACCAGGGAAAACCTGTTTTGTTTTTTTTTTCTTTATAGTTAAAGCAATTGGTGGCATTTAAAAATTGTTGGATGCTGTCTAGAAATATATAGGACTGACCTAATATTGTCTTACTGGCCACTGAGTCTATGTAATTCTACACCATCCTCAGTTTTTACATTGTCTAGCTGACGTTTTACTGAGCTTTTTCTCTTTCACTTGCCATTAAACTGAATGGCTAAAATCTATTAAATTGCAGCTGGATATCTCAATAAGCATATATTCTGGGTGTTATGGAAAAGAAGAGATGAGATTATGTTTACCAGGGATGGATATTGCTTATAGCCTCACCAGATTGCAGTTTGGGGGTTGGAGAAGGAAATCCTTCTGCGTTATTTTTAGTGTCTCTTAAGAACCAAGTCAGTGAATTTTCTTCTAATAGCAGATGTTCACAAACTAAAAATAACCATAGATCCACACCCATCTAATATCCTTCTTCAAGAAATTTAAAGTTTTTGAAACTTGAAGCATGTAAATATTTTTATGCTTCATTGACTTATTATTTACTTATTTTGAGACAGGGTCCTGCACTGTTGCCCAGGCTGGAGTGTAGTGGCACAAACATGGCTCAGTGAAGCCTTGATTTCCTGGGCTCAAATGATCCTCTTGCCTTAGTCTCCCAAGTACCAGGGACTACAGGCACACTAATTTTTATTTTTTTATAGAGATGGGGTCTTACTCTGTTGCCCAGGCTGGTCTCAAACTCCTGGACTCAAGCGATCCTCCCACCTCAATTTCCCAAAGTGCTAGGATTACAGATGTGAGCCACTGCACCTGGCCCATGCTTTATTTATTTAGTAATCAGTAGCAAACACTATCATAGCAATATAGAAAATTTAGCATGACAGAAATAGTACTAAGAAAGTGTTTGCATCATCAGGAAAGGCAGAATCCATTTCTGTATCCTTGAGACAATAACAGAGGATACAAATAGATCTTTAATATAAGGAAATGTATGAGAAACCTCCTTCCTGGTGTCAGTTAGAGGATACTTATTTGTGCTTTAGGACTTTGAGAGGTCTTACCCACTTAAAGCCTGTGTGTTGCATTAGGATGACTTAGGAAAGAAAGTGTTATTCTCTGCGGCTCCCTCTTTTGCTCTGTCTCATGGTGTTTCAGTCACGTGCAAAAAAAAAAAAAAGGAATAATTAAAACTGTTGATGTGTAAGGGAAATAATTTATCAAGGGTAGTGTGACAGGTCTTAGATTTTTACAGCAGCCCTTTTCATTTAGAGAAGAATACATTAATAAAATGATCAGGAGAAAAGAATGAAGGAAAATCATCTATAGGCAAAAGTCTTTTGAAGATAATTTTTTTAAAAAAGGTTGTTTCCCATACTTTAGAACCCTTGATTTCTCTAATTCACATACATTTTAAACTTTACCAAAATCATAAAATATGTTTAAAACTATCCTCCCCAACAGATAGTGGTGTGTCTTCCAATTCTTAAGCCTCTTTTAGAGAGTTTAATAATGATTTGGATAATGCTTTCCATTTGTAGTGTATAAACACTGATCCAAACTGCATTTGGTCGTCTTCACAAAGAAATATGAGGCAAAGAGATAAAATTTAAGAATCCTGATGAGCTAGAGATAGAGTGGGTATTTGCAAGCAGTCTCAAATGCAAAATTGCCTGGGCTGTCACATTTCTTCTGTTTTTAGAGAAAGTTATTGTGAATTCATAGATTTAGAAGGGGACTCCAGGGAATATCTAGTATTTCCCTTTGTTGAAAGCACAGCATCTAGAGCATATGGTTTTCTGTTCTTCCAAAATTATGTGCCACTAATGGACATGCCAGTGTGCAATGGTTGGTGGTTGCCCAACTCTGGAAATTTCCTAAAAAGTTTTAGACCACCATCATGGTGGGTGAATTGTATGGTATGGAAATCATTTCTCTATACAGTTATAAAAACGCGATTGTCTAAGGAAATGCGATTTTAGTCTCCATTTCTTGCCCTGTTTAGTGTGCTCCAATATACAGATGAAAGGTTCTAATTTTATCCAATGTAGGTCTGGTCTGGTCTGTTCTTTTTAGACAAAGTCTCACTCAGTCACCCAGGCTGGAGTGCAGTGGCACGATCTCAGCTCACTGTAACCTCCACCTCCCGGGTTCAAGTGATTTTCCTGCCTCAGCCTCCCAAGTAGCTGGGACTATAGGCACGTGCCACCACACCTGGCTAATTTTTTGTATTTTTAGTAGAGACAGGGTTTCACTGTGTTAGCCAGGATGGTCTCAACCTCCTGACCTTGTGATCTGCCTGCCTCAGCCTCCCATAGTGCTGGGATTACAGGCGTGAGCCACTGCGCCTGGCTGTAGGTCTTTCTTATGCAGTTTCAGCCCCTCTCTCTTCCTGCATGCAGGTGCCCACCACACTCTGCGTCTGTTCCTCAAGTCCTTCCACCCTTCACCCTGCCTGTTTGGGATTTCCTCTTGGCATTTTGGGCATAGAGATATGATTATCAGTGACTGTGTAGACTTCCTGGTATTAAAGATACCATTTTGGATGTATTTCACTTTTCTAGTTTTGTCTAATGCTTTTCCATGACCTCATGTGTCCAAAATGACCTGCACATTGTAATGTTTACTAATCCATCTCTTTTCATGCATGCATGGGCTCCCTGAGGTGCAGTGAATCACTTCGAGAATCTTCATTAATAGAGGGGAAAATGTTACGGTTTTGCTGGTTTTTTTTTTTTTTGTTTTTTTTTTTTGTTAGATGCATTTCTGTCTTCAGCAGTTCATTTTTTAAGGCGAAAAACAAGCAAGGATTTGTTTCCATTGCTTTTACAGTAGTCCTTCCTTATCCACAGGGGATACATTCCAAGCCCACCAGTGGATGTTTGAAACCTTGGATATACTGAACCCTATGTATACTCTGCTTTTTCTTATACTTTACATACCTCAGATCAGGTTTACTTAGAAAGTAGGCAGAGTAAGAGATTAACAACAATAACTAATAATAAAATAGAGCAATTATAACCATATGCCAGCATCACTACTCTTGCTTTAGGCTATTCTTAAGTAAAATAAGAGTTCCTTCAACACAAGCACTGCGCTGCAGTTGACTGGATAATGAGGCGGCTTCTGGCGACTCAAGGGTGGGGAGTGTAGACAGCATGGAGATGCTGGACAAAAGGGGGATTCATGTCCAGTGTAGGATGGAGTGGGACAGCCCCAGATTCCATCCTGATACTCAGAAGGGCCCGCAACTTAAAACTTACGAATTATGTATTTCTAGAATTTTCCATTTGATATTTTCAGACTAAAATTGACTGTGGGATACTGACACTTCAGGAGGTGAAACCATGGATAAGGGGGAACTACTGTATTTCCTTTTTCTGGGATCATTTTGGAATTATCTTCTAATGGAATTGCAAGGATGTTTCTCCTTGGTTTTGTTCCTTGCCAGTAAACTCTCAGAAGGCCTTGCAAAGAAATGTTGTATAATACATGAATTCCTCAACTAATATTCAAAACTTTCCCAACTCAGACTGTATTCCAGTGTGTATTTTTTTAATCTGTTCCACTGTTTTCTCCTTTTAAAATTCCTTTTAGATTTTTAACTGCATGAGCAGTTACAATTTCTTAAAAAGAGCAATTGTGAAAGTTCTCCCCCTACATTATTTTGAACTTTTCTCCACAGATATTATTGTGGGAACAGTCACCTGAGCAGTATATTTGTACCAGGGAAGCTAGGTTAGGCTAGGTGCTGCTGAGTGTGCCCATCCGGTGGTGAGACGGCTTGAGCACAGGCAGCAGGTGCCCTGGTAGAGCACCGGCCCTGGGCCCGGAACCTCTCTCTGGTCACTATTCCAGTGTTTGCTAGTCATGTTACTTCTGGGAGCTCTGGTTTCCTCAGCAGTAAATTGGAAGCGAATCACAATATTCTGTACATTTGACAAGGTTGTTTCTAGGGTTAAATAAGATAAAATTTAACAAAGGGATTCTGTAAACCATTTAAGGCAATTTAAGTATTCATATCAAAGATTTAGGCAGACTGTAATAAAATAGTAACCTACAAAAGACTTGTTTTTAAAATGCATCACATCTAGTTTTAATAGTCAAGACAATTTTAGTATTGAATAAAACAGATGGCCCATATAAATTAATAAATTTAAGATGATTACTGGCTGGGTAAGGTGGCTCACGCCTGGACTCCCAACACTTTGGGAGGCGGAGGCAGGTAGATCACCTGACCTCAGGAGTTTGAGACCAGCCTGACCAACATGGTAAAACCCCATCTCTACTAAATAACAAAACATTAGCCAGGCATGGTGGCACATGCCTGTAATCCCAGCCACTTAGGAGGCTGAGGCAGGAGAATCGCTTGAATCCAGGAGGCAGAGGTTGCAGTAAGCCTAGATTGGGCCAGGGTACTCCGGCCGGGGTGGCAGAGTGAAATTTTGTCTAAAAAAAAAAAAAAAAAAAAAAAAAGATGATTACTGAAAGGAACTGGGTGCTTTGCTTAGAGCAAACAAAATAGTATCTGATTTCAGTTTCCTTTTAACCCTATAGGTTACTTCTTCAGTCTTACCACTCTAACCTGTATCTAATGCTGCTTAAGTTTTATTTTCTGACTTATAGAGAATTTTGCAATGTAGATAATACAAAAACTTTTTAGGTCATTTTGCAAATTGTTTTAAGTTACTTGCTAATCATTTACACCTCTTGAACTAGACTAGATATTTGGACAGGAAGAGAGTGTGAGTTACGTTAGCCTTCTCCCCAGTGAGCTCCTTGTTTTCTTTCTTAGAAAGACATCACCTTATTACACATTAGACCAGTAGACAGGCCAAGCGGAAGTTGAGAACTCCTTCCCCAGCCCCCCGCAATCCACATATGGCCAGAGTTTCCTTAGAAGTACCTGGAACATAACAGTTTTTCTGCCTTTGTGCAGAAGTGATACTAGTAACTTAAATGACTTACCAAGGAAAGCTTTTTATATTTATTACTGTGGTTCAGGAATCTCCCAGAGGCAAGACTATGGAACACAGAAGCAAAAAGCAGTGCATTTGGGATATTTAGGTAATTGGAAACACAAAAGCAAAGAACCTGGAGTTACAGGAAAGATAGAAAATAGTTTCCTTTTTGCTTTTAGATTCCCATGGTCAATATTAAATAGTGAAGCAAAGCAGTCCACTGTATAAATTCATATGCTATTCTGCAGCAAAATTACGTTCAATCAACAAGGAAGCCTAACTGTTTATTCTTCCTGCAGGCTCGGCCAGTGGATTACCCTAAGGACTACCTTTCTCATCAGGTTCCCATATCATTCCACAAACACTGGAACATCGATCCAGTGAAGGTGTATTTTACATGGTTGGCACCCAGTGAGGAACACAAAACCGGGCAGGAGACACAGAAAGGTTTGAGAGAGGAGTTATAAAGCAGGGTGGCCTATGGGCATAGCCTGCGCAGGGAACAGAGTAGAGACTGGCCTCGCCCTGCTGTGCTGTGCTCACAACACTTCTGTCTGCCACATGGCATTGGATGCTTCCTGACTTTAGGGCGATATTTTGTGTATGGTATTTTTTGACAGAGGAAGAAAAGGGGTCATAGGAGAATCATTGTTTCTGGGAAATAATCACTTGCTTTTGACTTACACAGTTGTTGTAACGTGTAGTGATGACTGTGTATTCTCCAAGCTGTGATACAGCAGTTTTATTATTGTCACAGGAAAATAAGTGGTACCAGAAGTCCCTTTCCTGTTCTCTCTCTCCATTATAATGGAAATTTCAGTTGAGCATGAGCCTGGAGAGATGTGACTGTCTGCAGTTCTATTTGTATATATAAAAAGAAGAAAGTCTTTTGACATGGATATTACAATGGTATGAACTTTTAAATCATATTATTGATGATGAAAATTATTTCCTGGGAACTCAGTAGGAATAATGCTGTATTAAGGAATAATACTGTACATAAGACATCATGAAAGTCTAGATATGAAATCCCCTGAAGTCTGTAATCATGGTGGTTATGTTTTATCTATTCTTTTGCTGTTTGTGCCTCATAAAAAGAGAATGAGGCCTTCTGCTAGAGCTTCCTATTGCTTTAGAAGTTCGTCTGTGTTCTATGTCTCCCTGAAGCCCTATCTTTATGGCCTACTTGTAACATGAAAGTGTAGTGGATGCTGCCAGGAAATAGTGTCCTCAACAATGGTGACGTGTTTAAGTCAGCCAGCTCTATGTGAGTCTCAGGAAGTGAATTAAATTTGGACCTTATGTTTTACTCTTTTTTTTTTTTTTTTTTTTTTAATATTACTTAATGACTCTCCTGACTCAGAAGAGAAACCCTTTATGGAAGGACGACATGGTATCTGGCAATTTCTCTGGGTTTCCAAAAAATGACATTTGAACACAGTATTTTGAAACAGCTCTAGTTTTCAAATTGTATCTTTAATATATAGTAATTTAACATATTGAGTATTATTGTATAAAAAGCACTCTGTTTCAAATTATCCAGTTCAGTTTTTGTAAAGGTATTTGCATAAAATTTGATTTAATATGTCTTAAACTAATTTTGGTACAGTAAAGTACTTCTTTTTTTTTCTTTTTAATAAAAACTGTTACTTGTTAACTTTGCTTATAATGCTTTTTATAGCCAAGCACAAAGTTTAAAGCCATACCACCAAAAGTACCTGTGTGTTAATATGTTTTTCTTGTAGCATAGATTTGACTCATTTGTAAAATGATGTAATAGTACTTACCATTTTTCCAAATTAGCAAGTACCAGATCTAGTGTGTTGCAGTGATAACACAATGCATTGGATTCAGTTTTGTGAAAATGGATTATGTGGCCCGTCCAAGGAATGTATCAGGGATGACCAGCTGATGAGAGGCTCCACAAGGATTTCTAGATCGCATCAAACTTCTACTGATGGCCTCAAGCTTTGTCATTGTAACTGAGATTGTTGTCATTGCTAACATGGTAGTCACCTTCATGTCATCTATAATAATACTTCTGGAGAGCCTGGCTGCCTGTACCAGTGGAAAAGAGTCTCCAGTTCTTCTGCTCTGGCCTACTAAGTGTTACCACTGAGAGAACAGCATGTTCATTTGAAAGGATTGAAGCTGGCATTCACAAATGAAGATCTGTGTCAAGCTTTCTTCTGTGGTCTGATCAGTGCCTTCTACTGATACCGGGGCACCTCCTCTGGTACGTTTAAGTGTTTTGTTAATTATGTTTACTTTTTGGAACTGTGTAAATCTAACCACAAATAAAAGATCTTTGTGTAAGTTTCTGATTTGTCAAATATTGTGTTCATTAGTCTAGACTGGGAATGGGGAGGCGAATGGGGAAAAGGAATGAATGAAATCAAAGAAAAAAGTTGGCAGCTTGGTAAATACAGTTTCAAGAGAGAATAGTTACTTCAAAGCTACCCTTTTAAGAGGAAACAACTTTTAGAAGTTGACAGTATGTTTATGTAAAGTTTATAAAGCCATTATGTTTTATTAGATAACAAATCAGGGGTGTTATTTTACAATCGACTCCCATCCAAAGAACTCAGTTTTGAGTCTGACATTTCCAGGACCAGTTATTGTCTTATTTACATTTCCTTTGCTTTGAAATAGGGCTTTCCTTCCAAATGGCTATTTTTAGGCTAAGGATGTTAACATCAGGGATTTATGTGTGGAACAACTGGAATGTCATTTTTGCTTTTAAGCTATTCCTGATGATATAGCCAAAGCAGGTTGTCTATGTAGAATTTTTACATCTTGCAGCTAAATCGGAAATCCAGACATGAAAATAACCTTTATAGAATGCTTGGGAGCAGAAAACGATAACATGCTAAGTTACAAATGATGCTATATATGGGTTTGTAAATATCAGTGCTTTCTGTATTTCTGGGTTTACTGAAAACCTCTCACGCTTCCACATCTCTGTGTATTATAGTGATGTATATTTTCTCAAAAATTAATATAGTTGACGTCTTCAGAATGTTTCTGTTGTCTTACATTCATAATCAGAAATGTATTTTCTGTGGAATAAAGACTTCATAATGTAATTAAAAGTTGAACACTTTCTTACAAAGGAAACTCTAGGCCCAGATGGTTTCATCAGTGATTTTCTCCAGGCATCTAAAGATGAAATACTGTGTTTATGTAACGTAAACTCTCAGAGCATAATGAAAAAGAGAACATTTCCCAACTAAATTTGAGACCCAAATTTCTCTGACACCAAAACCTGACAATAGAAAATCACAGACCAGCACCTTTCATGAGCATAAAAGACAGTGATCCTAAACAAAATGATCAGCAGCATGTAAAAAGAGGATACATAAAAAGGATAGAAACTTATGACCAAATGGGTTTATCCCAGGGTCGCAAGACTGCTATAACATTCAAAAATCAAGTAATTCACCACGTTAATAGAATAAAGGAGAAAAATTGTATGACCATTATAGTAGCTTCACAAAAAAGAAAAACAAAGCATTTGACAGAATTCAGCCCACCATGTAATTCTCAGAAGCTAGGTAAATTCCTCAATACAACAAAGAGTATCTACAAAAAACCTATCATCATAATACTTTCATGTTGAATTATTTCTCCCCCTAAATTTGGAGGAAAGACTAGAATGTTCACCTTTACTACTTCTATTCAACATTGTTTAGGAAATCCCAGTCAGGGCAAAGAAAAGAAAACTGTAATAAAGAGTAAAGAGAAGTAAAAAGTTATTTACAGATGACTTGATTGCATACAAACAGAATCCAAAGTATCTTATAATGAATTTAGTAAGATCACTAGATACAGGCTGATACAAAAAATTATTTTTACATACTAACAACCAACAATTAGAAAGTAAAATTAGGAAAACTGTGTTATTTACAATGGTTTAAAAAATATGAAATACTAAGGAAGTAGATCTTAAATGTTACTGCCACTACCAAAGGAAAAAAATGTGAGAGAATGGATGGATATGTTAATTGGCTTGATTGTGGCAATCATTCCACAATGTATACATATATACAAGTCATGTTGTACATTGAGTATATACACTTTTATATGTCAAATATACCTCAGTAAAGCTGGGAAATATTAGCAAATATCTAGAAATAGTTGCAAGACCTCAACACTGAAAACCAGAAAATAGATTAAAAAGGAACTAAGATTTATCATTTTATGTACTGAAATATTCAATATTGTTATGACTACAATTACCTCAAATTGATCTATAGTTTTAGTTTCAGTAAAAATCTCAGACTTTTGTGTGTGTAAAAATTGACAAGTTGGTTCTAAATATAGAAAGAAATGCAAAGGGCCTAAAATAGGCCAATTATGATAACCAAAATTCAAAGATTTACATTAACAGATTTCAAGACCTACCAAAAAACTACTGGAGTGTTTTACTGGCATGAGGACTGAAGGTAGATAAATTGAACAGAATCCATACATATATGATTACTTGATGTAAGACAAAGGCAATACATGCAATTCATGAGGGAAATGTAGAGAAATAAGAGAAATTGTCAATGAATGTAGAGAAACTAGATAATCCACATGGAACAATATGAAGCAACTACTAACGCAGATTACAGCCGTTAGATTCAAAGATTAAGCTATAAAGCATCTAGAACAGTACTTTTCAACTGGGGGCCTTTTAGCCCTGGGAGACATTTGGCAAGGTTTTTGATTGCCACAACTGGAAGGAGCTACTACTGGCATCTGGTGGGTGGGCCAGAGATGCCATTAAACACCCTACAGTGCACAGGAGAAGAATTAACAAGAATTATCTAGCCCCAAATGTCAGTACTGCCAGGGTTGAGAAACACTAGTCCAGAGGAAAACTAGACTAGAATATCTTCATTATCTTAGGTAAACAATGAAGTATTAGGTAATAAAAAGGCACTGTCTAGGGCCAGTGTGGTATCTCACACCTGCAATCTCAGCATTTTGGAAGGCTGAGGCAGGAGGATTGCTTGAGATGAGGAATTCAAGACCAGCTCAGGCAACATAATGAGACCCTGATTCTACAAAAGAAACACAATGAGACCCTGATTCTACAAAACAATAACGACAAAACGCTATCTACAAAATTAAGAAGTGGATATATTTGATTTTATTTTAAACAAAACTATTTTTCTATCAAAGGAAAGGAAAAGGCAAGTTACAGACTGCAGACGATATGTATGACATATCTAATGAGGACTCTGTAGAAGACAACTCTAAAATAGTCCCCATGATCCCTGACCCCTGGTATTCATACCTGTGTGTAATCCTCTCCCCTTGAGTTTTCATGGGACCTGTGTGACTTGATTCTAACCAATAGGATATGGCAAAGGTGGTGGGAGGTATGTGATTATGTATGTGATGCTGTTTCAGAAACCTGTAGTATTCATCTCATGAGGAGATACTCTTCCTTGTTAGCTTTGAGGAAAAAGGTAGTCATGTTGGGAAAGCCCACGTGGCAAGAAACTAAAGGTAGCCTCTAGGCAACAGGCAGCAAGCAGCAGACTGGAAAGCGGATATGCCACAGGGACTGCCACCACATGAGTTTGGAAGAAGACCCTTCCCCATTTGAGCAAAAGATGAGACCACAGCCCTGGCCAACACATCTATTGCAGCTTTGTGAGAGATCCTAAAGCAGAGGACCCAGCTAAGCCATGCCGAGACTCTTGACCCGTAGAAACTGTCAGATAAATGTATGTTTGTTTGTACCCCTAAGGTTGTGATAATATTGCTAAGCAGTAGTAGATAAATATAGGTTAATAGCCAATACACCAGCTACAAATTCAAGAACACAAACCAGTCAAAAATGTCCAAAAGATTTGAACAGGCACTTCACAAGACAGGAAATACAAATGGCCAACACATGTATTTTGAGTGTTCGGCATCATTAATGAGATCACACATAAACCCACCATGAGACATGCTACACAGTTACAACAATGGAAAAACTAAAGAGACTTCATACTTTCGAGTGTTGACAAAAATGTGAAGCATCTATCGAATTCTTAGAAAGTATTGCTTAAGAGTACTAAATGAACAGCCACACTGCAAAACCATTCAGCATTTTCTACTAAAGCAAACCAAACGTCTATGGTAGGATTCGGCTAACTGCAGCCCATACTAAACTCAAGATGGAGTAAAGACTTAAATGTAAAACCCAAAACTATAAAAACCCTAGGAGAAAATCTAGGCAGTACCATTCAGGACACAGGCACGGGCAAAGATTTCATGATGAAAAAGTGAAAAGCAATTGCAACAAGAACAAAAATTGACAATTGAATGTAGTCAAAGAGCTTCTGAACAGCAAAAGTAACTATCATCACGGTGAACACACAACCTACAAAATGCGAGAACATGCAATCTATCCATCTGACAAAGGTCTCATATTCAAAGCCTACAAGGAACTTAAACACATTTACAATAAAAAAAAAAAAGATCCCATTAAAAAGTGGGCAAAGGATGAACAGACACTTCTCAAAAGAAGCCATACATGCGGCCAACAAACGGGAAAGGGAACAACACGTACTGGGGTCTGTTAGAGGTGGGTGGTTATGGGAGGGAGAGCATCAGAAAAAACAGCTAATGCATGCTGGGCTTAAAACGTAGTTGTTGATTTGATAGCTGTGGCAAACCACCATGGCACACGTTTACCTATGTAACAAACCTGCATCTCCTGCACATGTATATTGGAACTTAAGATAGAATAAAAATGCTTGGCAAAACTTAACAATATGTATTGGGGGGGAAAGAAGTTGAAGCTGACAGAAATGTTCACACTCCCAGTCTTGTCCTAAAAAAGATTTGAAGAGGGAATTCCTGAAGTCTTTGCAAAGGAAATGATTTGAGTTTCCATGATCCATGCTTCCACAGAGTTTGTGTTCTGGAAACCTTTCTCTGACCTTCCTTTTGAGAAGCCAAAGCCACCACCCAATGGAGAAAGCCAAGTGAACCTGCTGTTGCTGCAACCTCAGTGAAGAGGAATGCCTTCACAACTGTTTGGGGAGAATTGCCTGCACAGAAGAGATGGAACTCAAGAAACTGGTTTCCAATCTAAAAGCGTCAGATTTTAGAAGGCCATGAGCCCATAAGCGTGAAATAGAGACTGGAAAGTTTTATAAAATGGGTGTGATAGTAGTTCTGCCTGTGATTTAGGCTGGGAATTTTTATTCTGGGCAGTCCATTTGTGTGTGTGTGTATTATACTTCTTGCCAAGTCTGCTTGTCTCTAAAAGAAAAGGAATTTTCTAGGGAGCTTATTAAAGGGGTGTTAGATGATCATCTTCACAATGGCAAG